CAAGCAAAAAGGAAACTGTAAAATGAGACTCCTGGTGATGTGTATAATGTTCAGCTTGTGGATGGATATCCTTAAGGTGGACAAACGTAGAATTCACAGCCAGTTCTGTAAATCCTCTTGGGAATGCGTGCCCTGAAGACAGAGGTACAAGTAGGCACATCAGTGCACTTTAGTGGGTGGAAGAATCCGCTGGTTCTTCCTTCAAATCTCATCCTTGAGCACTATTTCCAGTGTTATGTGTGCTGGTGATGGTAGCACAGGGGAAGGAGAAGGGATTAGGAGGTGCGTAACATCGTTTCTTCTGTTCCATCACTGTGTGCACTTACATTTCAGCCTTAATCTGCCCAGAGCCTGTGTATGAGTGTGGGCAGGCGTGGCTCAAGAGTCCTTTCTTCTGTGGAGGTTGGGGCAGTAAGTGAGCTGCTGTGTTTGGGGTCTTTGGCCACATGTGTTTCTGTGCCTCCTTTTACTGAAGGAAGGAGAAGGAATCCATCTTCCCCAGGTCTCCTGATAGAACTGAGTGTGGGGCCTCACTATGAGGTTCATTTCTTGGAGACAGTCATAAAAGATTAAGACCTCTTCATCCAAGACTGAGGAACTAGAGCCTGGCACACTAGGAGATGCTTTGATTCAAAGTCCAACACAAGCCCTTGCAGAGTCTCTTTTCAAAGGGACAGTAGCAGCAGCGTTTGGATGCTCCTTTTTAGTGGCAACTGGGAACTCTGAACCCTGAGGCATTCTGGAATATCTTGGCCCCTAGCTGCTTCTCTTTGCCTGTTCGAGACTGTGCTGTGTCTTCCTGTTTCATACAAAGGAGAAGGCACTGCATGGTATATGTGGTCAGACAACCCCAGAGACATCATTGCTTCCAATGGCCTTTTAACTCTTTGGATTATGATTTTGAACACAGGTCAGATGGATTGAAAGAAGCTCTGCAGGCCACAGAAGCTCTGCTTGTGTGTGAAGATAAAGACTGTAAGGATTCCTAATTTTTGAAAAGTCTTAGTCAAATATTGTCTAGTTAATCCTGTAGCTGCTGCTGAATAAAACGACCAAACAGTCAGGTGATGAGTGAGAACTACTGCTTATTGATGAGTCAAATAGGTATTCGTTCTATCAATAGGTACAGAGAGAGCTGGAAACCCTACCGGATCAGGAATGAGCATGGAACCTAGCAGCAATGACATACATCACATACAGGACTGAGCAAGAAAGGTATTGACAGATGAAATGTCGCTACCTTACATCAGAGACAGGTAAGGTTAGCTTTAGAAAACCCCCAAAGATTTTAAAGCCAGATAGTCAAGTTGTCTCTGAAAGGTCACTGCTGACTTTAGAGATTTAGACTTGGCACGTACAACTATTGTCTGTGATCTGACTGTAAATGTTCCATCATCTGGCAGTATCTGTGCACGACTGTAATGCTTGAACAAGAATGAAAACTTGTAGATGTCAATTCACAAAACAACCCAACATTCAAAAAAGACAGAGAGTAATAAATCATTAGTTCCTATTCTGATAAACACCAGATATCAGATATCACATATGCTAACTGCCTGCAACCTTTGCCAGGCTTAGGGTTCCCTTACATGCAACTGCCAGTTGTCACAGTAGGATCTTTAGAGGTCCCTTCTCTATTGCTGTGCTTAAGACACTGAGCAAAAGTTTGATTAGTGTTCATACTTGGTATTTAGGATTTAGGCAGTGTTAGTTATTTTAATGTCCATCTCTGACCTTCAGGGCCATCTTGGCCAATTCCTCTGTCTGGAACCACTACACTGTCCTTGACCCTTCTGATAGACATGGTTCAGTCTATTGCTACTGCTATACTTCCTCTAAAGATGAAGAAAGTAAGGCACCAGGAGACTAAACGTCGTGCCTAGCTTAGAGAACTGGTTTGTAGCACGGAGGTCTTTCTGTTAGTTATAAAATTACCCATCCTAGCTGTTGCTGGAAGTAACAGTTCTTCTTGTTGGTTATTCAGCAGCATTAGTTATCAGTGACTAGTGTGCCAAATATTCTAGGGTATGGCCTGGAGGTGTAACTTCCAGAAAGTGAGGCTAAATGACTCTCAGCTCCTCAGGACTGCAGCTTTGGCATCAGAACTACTGTCAGGGTCCTAACAGGGTTTGTCTCCTCCACATCAGTATTGACAGTGGGACTCCACCCAGGCTACAAGTACACGTAACAAAGCCTTGGGGAGTTTCAGGGAAGCCTGAGCTATGCCCCTGGGCAAGTCTTTCAGCAACACACAGAGCTTTTTCCCATCTATTCCTATTCCTGAGTTACATTTTTCTCTGCACGTCTCATGAATAAATGATTTTTCAGGTTACTCCTAAGACTATTTGTGACATGTCCCATAATTTCGATCAGTGTTTTCAGCCCTTTTATGCTTGCAGGGAGCCTACACACTATCTTTTAATGAAGCTGGAAGCATTTGACCTCAAAGGTGGGTGCTGCTGGGATGATGAAATCTTGATCGCAAGAAATTTGGCTTTCCATCACGGGTCTTTTGTTCGTTCTTTCTTCGTGCAGTTGAGACTAAACACCTCTTTCACAGACTCTGAGAAAGACATGCAGAGCCACAGAACATGTTGGGCTGAATGGGAAGCTCCGTCCCCTCCTGTCCACAGTCACTTTATGCACACGGTAAGGAGCTTCTAAAAGTTGCTGGTGCCCCATTTCCCCACTGTACCAGCCTGTGCTGAGCAAGGTGCAAAATGTAGGAGAAGGTGGAAGGGAGAGTTTGGCTAGCACGCTGTTAACAAGTGCTGCTACAGCTCTTTTAATCACGGCAGATGTGGGCTGCTCTGCCCCCAGGAACTCTAGCGTGCTCCAGGTATTCTTTGTCCTATTAGTGAGGAGGAGTGTTTTCAAATGGTGGTGCAGCCAGCATGCTCTGGGGTGAATCTTAACGTAACCACATAGTAAGGATTTTGAAACAAGTTCTTGTTATTATTAGCTGATTCTTATAAGAGCCAGGGATAATAAAAATATCCTCAGAGTTGGACATGGCTCATATGCAATTCAGAAATGGTCATAACTGATCGGTCTGCAGACTATATTACTGCAGTGTCTAAGTGCTTTGCCTAATAACTTGTCTTCATCCTAAGACTCTGCTGAGTTCTGAAGAGGGTGAGACAAAGTTTTGTATGCTGCTGAGTGCACTGTGTTTTCTGTACCAGGGCAGCACCCTGACCAGGACCTGTAAACCTTCCCTGTGTTGCCCAAGCATTGTGGTTATGCTGTTTGGAGGAGCTAGTGAAAGGAATCCTGATTTGGGGCATTGAGCCCAAGAACTGTGGTGGCCAGGACTCTTGGTGGCCAGCTGGGCAGCAGCTGCAGCAGGTGGTGTGTCTGGCTTTCTGGAGTGGTGTGAATGGTACAGGCTGTGCCGAGTGTGAGGAGCAGTGCCGAGTGTGAGGAACACTGCTGTGTGGGAAGCGGAGGGGATCTCCTGTGTGGCAGAAGTACAAAGCAGGAGGCTTTTAGTTTCTGAAACATAACAGTTGGCCTTCTAGGGGCATTATGTGGGAAAAACTGATGGCAAAGACCTGTGTGTTTTGCCTGTTTGCAGCTAGTTTGGATGTCATCCTTTGATAGAAAGGTTTCACCTAGCACATTTAAGAGTACAAGCAGCTTTGCAGCATGCATTTTTAAAACTAGAAGGGCCTATTGCATACCAAACCTATCTGATTGTTTCTAACCCATGACAGGAACACAGCGAGATCCCTAAATAGACCAAAGACTAAGTGAAAAGTGTGTTGACTGACCTGCTCTTTGAGATCCATAAATGAATCTTCAGGAAGAATGTGGAGAACACACTGAAGGAAGGGTGATGGTTGCCTGTGTGGGAAGTTTGTTCAGGTTTCATTGGCTGTGTATTAAACTAAGGAATTAACAGGGCAAATGTCAAATGCTGTAGGCATGGCATTTTCTAGAGGCACTCATCTCTCCTCACAGGTCTGACTTTCCCTTGCCTTGACCTATTTGTCATCACATGCAGTGTGGAAAAGAATCCATTGAAGACTGCTTCTGCATCAGAATTCATCTCCTCAGTTGATAATGAGGTTGGATTTTAAATACTGTCTTCACTGTACACGTATAAAAGCAACCACAAGCTACAGGGGTAGAAGTGAACCCTAGGGCACAGGGGAAATAGGAGGAGCAGGGGGGAAGCAAGCAAGCTGTCTACTCATAAGGCAGAGATTGAAGTTTGTGTATGGGTTTGATTAAGGCAAAACATTTTGGATTTGAAACCCAGCAGCAGGTGATGATTACTGGCAGTATGTCTGTGCCTATATACAATTTTGCTGAGCAACAGTCTTTTGTTACCTAAATCCCAGGGGTCTGGGGGTCAGAAGAGCTGTACATGTCTTAGAGAGCCCATTGCAGCCATTTTCAGTTTTGGTACCGGGGCTGATCTTGCAGCCTGTGGGGAAGACATTACTCTTTCTTTTGGTTTCATGGTATCCATATGGAGTTACATCAGCTCTAGAAAATAATTGGGGAGTCTCATGATCCAGAGTGGAGGAAGTTGAAAACAATGGAAGTTAAAAACAATTAACAGAATCAGAATGAGAAAATCTGAGTGGATGGGTGGACTTTCTATACATTGCAATCTGATAGTTAAATCCTTGAAGGTTTCTAAATTCATTAGGAACTCTTAAGTCAGAATGAAATAGTCTGAGAGTGCTGAAGTTCACACACTAATTTAATTTGCATTAATTTTCAATTGTATATCAACTTAGTCTTTTGAAAATCAAATTGCATGGTGCTACATCTTGCTCCGAACCTACTGCTCTTTATGGAGTCATTGGTGCATGGTTGCTTAGCACTGCTTTTTTAAGAATTTGATGATGTAAAATAAAGTCTTTTCCCCGCCTCTAAAGAAACAGGAAGAGTGCAG